CAGACGTGTGCTCTTCCGATCTCCCCAAAACCCCAAAACCCCAAAACCCCAGAAAGCTGAATAAAATACAAATTATAATAAGGTTAAATAAACTTCGTATATAAAAATAAATCTTTATCAAATATAAAAGGAACTTTTTGAACATAAACAGCACTAGATTAGAAATGAAAGTAAACAACGTAAAGGAAACAACCACAAAGGAGATCGCAAAGAACATCTTTTTGCACACTAGCAAGATGTCTCTTTCTAACACGGAAGATTTGGCACATACTCTATACACATATACTGTAAGTATTAACTTTAAAATGAATTTGAGATGCTAAAATATGTGAAATAATAATGATCGTATATCGATGAAATATCTTGATGGCTTAAATTCTTTAGGTTGATGTCAAAGAGATCTCTCTAGTTGATATTACCCTAGATTTCTCAGGATCCTCAAATATAAAGCTTGAGAATTAGGCTGATTTGACAGCCACGGCAACAATAAAGCCAATGACTTCTTAAATTGTAGCTGTTGCTAGGGCCTATGATGTGCAATGGAGCACTCAGGTTAAAATGAAGCTATGCAAAAGAAGTCCATCAATGGAAGACTAGGAGCAGTTCCTAAAAAGCGATAAATAAAAACTTGCTGATGAGATTATTGAAGCAGAAAGACACTGGTCTAATTTCCCAGTTAGGATCGCATCTCAAGATTAAATTTTGTAACACATTAAGAAAGCTGGTTCTAATTTCATTGATAACTCATTCTTACCAGTTGAGAAGTCAATATTTGATCCATCTAAGGGTCAGCCTTTCGACAGAATTGTTCACTGGAGAAGACCGAGGGAATTTATGATTCCAGATCCAAGCAAGGGACTCTTTGAGCCTCAAATGTTTGAGAAATCCATAGAGCCAAGTGATATTTTGTAAGGTAATTTGGGTGATTGCTGGTTCCTCTGCGCAGTATCTTGTATCGCAGAGATGCCTTCACTTGTGGAGAGATTGTTTTTAACTAAAGAATATAACGAGGAGGGAATATACAGAGTTAAATTATTCAAAAATGGGGAATGGATGGAAATTGTAGTTGATGATTATTTCCCATGCTTGCCTTATGGGGGTCCTATCTTCTCAAGAGGTCATGGCAATGAACTCTGGGTGTTATTACTTGAAAAGGTGTATGCTAAAATTCATGGAAGCTACAAAAACATTGTAGCTGGCAAACCTCACGAAGCACTTATGGATTTGACTGGATGTCCTACCACCTCTTATAGTTTTAAGGATGAAAAAGTACAAGAATTAGTAAGAAACGGGAAGCTATGGACTATGCTAAAAACTTTTGATAAGGAAGGCTATATAATGGCTGGAGGTACTCCAGGTGAAGATACAATGACAGAAAATGGAGGAGCAAACTAATCAGGAGGATTAGTTCCAGGACATGCTTACAGTATTATATCAGCAGCTGAATACAAGGGTATTAAATTATTGAACATTAGAAATCCATGGGGAAACTTTGAGTGGGATGGTGACTGGAGTGATAGGAGCTATCTTTGGACAGAGGACATGATCAGAGGTTTCAATGCAGTTTTAGATGAGAATGATGGCTCTTTCTGGATGAGTTTCTCTGATTTCTGTAGACTCTTTGACAGTCTAGATGTCTGCAGAGTAGCAAGTTGGAATGAACTAAGATTAAGAGGCAGATTCATCAGATATAATGATGTAATGGACCCAGAAAATGAAGTTGTTGTATCAAAATGGATCTATGCTTTAGAAATTCCAACTAAAACTCATGTTGTAATTGGCCTTCATCAAGAAGATGAGAGAATAGAGGGCACTTTACCTAGAAGACCCTATTTAGACTTCGGAGTCGCTATCTTAAAAAGAGATCTAGACGGATCAACTTTAGTGCATTTGAAGGATTATGTAATTCAGAGAGACTGTGAGATTGAATGTATTCTAGAACCTGGTTCTTACATTGTAGTGCCTAGAACAACTGGTTGCAATATCAGAAGACCATCTGATGCTCTATCTTAAAATGTGAGGCTACTAAATGAAGGTAGATACCCAACTGAGCTCTTTGCTTCAACTATTGCAGATATTTTCAGAAAATTTGACTTGGTAATTTCAAACTCAATGGACTTCAAGGAATTCAAAGCTCTATATGACATTATTGGAAAGAAAATAACAGAGCCAGAATATCAAGCAAACATTGTTAGAAGATACAATTCCCTTGATGACTCATTGACTCAAAAGGGTTTCACTGACTGGTTCATTGATCAAACCAGATCTGAGGGAGAGGATGTAATTTTCTCATGGCTAGATAAGCTTGGCTACGACAGAGATCTTTACTCAGTTAGATCAAGACTTTTCACCATTACCTTCCACAGCAAGCCATTAGAGGGTACTGATCCAATTGAAGTTAAAATCAGAGATGCTATTGGCACTGATATCGATAACATTTCAAATAGATTAGTTCTAGAACAATATGGTAGAGACATCGAAAGAGGAGATGGATTCAGAATAATTGAAAAAGAAAATTCGTAAGAATATAATATATATTTGCTAATAATTTAATAGTGAGGTATTCTCTTATACATACGGTGTATCAAATGAGTCAGACCATCCAATAGTATTCAAACTTGACCTAAGTTAATCCGAGAACTTATCATATAGTACTAAGGGGCCTCAAAATAAGAAATTGCTCCAACCCCGTGAGATGTGGTTTATGATGCATGCCTAGGCAGGATTCGGATAATTCACAAAAGCTCTTAGCAGTGAAATATAGCATTTACCAAGGAAAAAATGATTAGGCTTGTCTGAAAATTAGAGAGAGCAAACAATTTTTATTTTAAGTTATTTTAACATAAAAACATTTAATTAAAGATATCGTAATCGTTTACATCAGCAATGATCATTTGAGCTAATCTTCAAAGGCTGACATTGCAACTCCTTAGCCATCTTACTTTTCTTTGAGTTTCTTCTAAATTTCAAGATAGAAGACATCATAGTACTCTTACTTGCACTTCTCAAATTTTAATTCTAATTTATCAAATCCCTTGCCAGTTCCTGCTGATACTCCACATGCTTCAATATTTTTATAGAACTCTTCAAGTACTAGACTCAGAGATCTGCTGAGAGAACTAAGATAAGTGTCTACTTTTGAAAGATTTTGATCGAACTACTCAAAATCTTTCATCCATTCCAAAGCAAAAGAGTGATCGAGCACATCAATCTTGTTGAAGCAAATGAGCAGAGGAATCTTGGATTTGTAAAGAATCGACAAAGCATAGAACATGTTGGACATAAAGGTATTTGGATTCTCACATCTCACTGTGTCTGCAATGTACAGATTTATGCAAGGAAATGTGCAGGCTAAAGAGTCTGTTATAATTTGTCCACTGGCCGATTGAGAAAAAGCCTCTATTTAACCTGGAGTATCAATAATAACATAGTCAATATCATCCTTCTTGGCCTCAATAAGTTTGACAACCTAATCGAATTGAGCTGCAAATATGTTCAAACATGTTAGAATTGCTCCATTAGGTCCTATAATTTGATTGTATAATAATGAGACTTACCTAATTTGTAGGATTTCATGATATTCTTATATTTAACTGAATCTCTTATGTCAATACTTGCTGGAAACTTGACTTCCAGGACTGCTGGGTCAAGGTTTACATTGTAAGTTCTCTTGCCTTCCATACTCATTTGGGACACTAGTCTCTGATGATATTTTAAGGCATTTAGAGAATAATTACCTGAACGAAAGTAGTTTTGCCAGAGCCTGCCATTCCCAACACAATTAATACAATAGGCATTTTTGGGTGTTCTTTTGACTCCAAACTCAAATCCTGCACTTGGTTATTTATGACTTCCATTGATATATTTATATAAGTAAATTAAAATATTTCTCACTCTTGCTTAGAGTTATATTTGCTAATGGGGTTTTGGGGTTTTGGGGTTTTGGGG